CCCCGCGCCGTGGCTCTCTGCCCCGAGCCCCCCCCGCGTCCCCAGCGCCCCAGCGGGAGCCCCGCCCACTGCACCCTCCGCCACGAACGCTTTATTCCGCGTCGCACACCCCCCCCCCCCGCGTCCTCAGCGCCAGAGTGGGACCCCCGCGCCGTGGCTCTCTGCCCCGAGCCCCCCCGCGTCCCCAGCGCCCCAGCGGGAGCCCCGCCCACTGCCCCCTCCGCCACGAACGTTTTATTCCGCGTCGCGACGCACACCACCTCCCCCACCTCCCTCCCCGCGTCCCCAGCGCCCCAGTGGGGGCTCCGCCCCGTGCCCCCTCCGCCCCGACAATTTTATTCCGCGTCGCGACGCACGCAACCTCCCCCCCTTCCCCCCCTTTCCCCAGCGCCCCAGTTGGACCCCCGCCCCGTGGCCCTCTGCCCCAAGCCCCGCCCAGTGCCCCCTCCGCCCCGACAGTTTATTCCGCTTCGCGGCACCCCCCCCCTCCTCTCCGCGCCCCCAGCGCCCCATTGGGACCTCCACCCCGTGCTCCCTCCGCTCAGAGCACTCTATGCCGCGTCGCGACGCACGCCGCCTCCCCCGCCCTCCCCACCTGGGACTTGGGCCCCGTTGCTGGGCTCCGAGGGGCGATGTCTTGCCCCCTCTTCCCCCCTCCTCCTCCTCCTCCTCCTCCACCTCCTCCTCCTCCTCCTCCTCCTCCTCCTCCTCCCCCTTCCTTTTTGTGCAAGAGCCATGGCGCACGTGCCACTTGTTTGTGTGTCCCATTTCCCCTTCATCCTGGGCCGTTGTCCGTGTGCTCGTTCTGCTCGGCACGCGAGGCGACGCGAAGGCAGGACGAGGCAGCCCGGGCAACAGAACGAAGACGGAAGACACCGTTTCGGTTCCGGCCTGCCGGCCGGTCTGCCCTCCGCCCCGCGGCAGGCACCGGCCCGCCCGCTTGGACCGCCCCGCGCATCCGCGGGGGCTTGCCCTCGGCGCTGCCACCCTGCCGGGGGACGGCGATCGCCACCGTCGAGGACGGCTCCGAGGACCGCTGACGTGCTCGGCACCGCGTTCGGAGCATCCGACGTCGGCGGTCAGAAGAGGAAAAGGTACCCATGCCTCTGCCCTTTCCTCGTTTTCCCTTGTTGGGGCCTCCTCGGAGGCCCTCGTCGCCACCGCTGGCTTCGCCTCGAAATTCTGGTCAGAACGCACACCGGGAGAGGTCCGGGGAGCAGCGGTATCGGTACCTGATGTGGTTTCCCCAGCGACGGCCTCCGCTGGCGCAGGACGGAAGACGCCCAGCGCAGCGTCCAGGCCCGGGGCTGGGAGTTTGCGAGCACAGTCAACCACTTACTGGCCATCCAGGCGACCATTGCCGGCACAGTCGTCGAACTCGAGCACGGCCTCGCCGTCGCCAGGGCCGGATCGGCCCAGTCGCCTCCAACGCCGCCACAAGGGCCATTAGGGCCGACACTCAAGCGCTGAGGGCCGACCTTCCAGGGCTCGTCGCCCGAGCCGCGGCGCCCGCGCCCCGTTCTTCCTCCCTCCTTCCTCTTCCTCGTCCTCTCCCTTCCCCCAACTCCTCGTACTACTCCTCCGTCTCCTCCTTGCTCCCCTTGCCCCTTTCCTTCGAGTCCTCCTCTTGTTGCTCGTTGTTCCTCATCATCCCCCTTTATCGTTCCCCTTCCCTATTTTTCAGTGCTCCTATTCTTCCAACTGCTTCACCTTTCTTCCCCCATTTCCTTCGTCCTTCATCTCCTCCTCTTGCCTTCTTGCCGCCCTCGGAGGGCAGGACTGTGTAGGAGGAGGAGGAGGAGGAGGAGGAGGAGGAGGAGGAGGCGGGGGGCAGGGAAAAGCGAGGAGCAGGAGGAAGCGAAGGACGAGTAGAAGGAGTAGTGGATAGGATGTCCTGGTGTCAGGGGCTCCAAGACCGTAAGCCGCTCCTGGGCAGACTACGTAGTAGTGGGCATGTGTGCATCTATCGCTTCGGCGTGCCCTGAGATCCGCATAGGTTTCAGTCGGGCCTGTCCCTCTAAAGGGGAATACTCCAAAACAGTTTAAACGTAGCCTGGGGAGTATTTGTTGTATTTTTGAGTATGGTTGGAATAGTGTGGAGAATGCTTTATTTGTCGTCCAAGATCCCCCTTTGGAGGGACACGCCCAACCTAAGCATAGGTGCACTCAGCATCCAACTCAGAGTTCCTCCAATGGTTCGACCTTCCTTCTTGTGCGGCCACCCGCCCGAGCGAGTCGCACGTGTTCGTCCCTTGGGTCACACACGCCACCCGTGCGTCGGAGACGTCTGACACTTGGGGCCTTCCGCTGCTACCGCCACGGCCCGACACGCAACGGCGGAGCGCCGGCTTCCAGCTGGTTAGACGCCGCGCCGCACCGGGCGAGCACCACATTCTCTACTTGGGGGGCGGCGCCGTCGCCAGTTCCGATGGAATCGGTCGGCCCAGATCATGGAAGTCTTGGTTCCGGGAGGGGGAAACACACACATACACACACAGACACAGCTAACCGTCGATCCCCATCAAAATATGGGAAACTATGGGAAGTGGGGGGGGGGAAGACGAAGATCCAGAGAGCATGAGAAAAGATAGGGTCTCCTGGGAGTCGCGCCTACTTATTTTGTGTCCAGTTAGTTTGGTGTCTATTTATTTGTGTGTGTGTCCCTTCATGGTTTGCAGCCCGCGGGATGCCACGTGCCCGCCAGGACGGCAACGTCTGGGGCCGCCTTCTCGGCTTCGTCCTCTCCGTCTGGATCCAGAAGCAGGGCGTGGACGAGGAGGCCGCCGCCTACCTCAGGGGCGTCCACGAGGAGTGAGGGGGTGATGGGCGGATGGAGAGAGCAGGACTCAGGAAGGGATAGTTCGGTGGCAGATCATGGGAGCCTGGTGCACCCTCTGAATTCCGTCTGTAGCGTCGACCAGCGTCGATTAGCATCTGGAGTCGATGAGATAGCGCCGATTTAGCGTCGATGTAGCGTCGATTGGCGTCGATGTAGCGTCGATTGGCGTCGATTTAGCGTTGATTAGCGTCGATTCGCAAGAGCCAGCAAGATGGTATGGGAGGCTCCCATGAGTTGCCACCGAAGGATAGGGAGGGTAGGACGAGAAAGTAGAAGTTTCGTTCCCGATGTTGGCCTAGCCCTGTTGGGCTGCCAACCGCCCCCTCTGTGCGCTCAGCTCCACACTTATACATGATGAGTGCTACTCTCCTCGACTCCGTCGGGAGGATCGCCAGCTCTCTCCGCGTATTGTTTTTCCACACATGATTTTGAACGCCCACGTTTTGGAAATTTCGCAACCCGATTGTGCTTCTGGTGTTTCAAACTGGTGCTCCCGCGGCAGCGTGGCCCTCGTTGTCGGAGCGGCGCTTTGCTCCCGCCGTTCAGAATGGCGCTGTTCGGGGGGTCCCAGAGGGAGGGTCATTTCAAGGTGTGGCTGAGGAACGGGCCCGGATGGATGCTCCTGTTGTTTGACGCGCTTCCTGCTTCCAGGGGCCGTTCGGAGCGAGTCTCCTTCCAGCCCTGCCTTTGTCAGGAGGGGAAAAAACACACAGACACAATTGATCCTCGATCCCCAAGAAAATATGGCAAACTATGGGAATTGGGCGGGAAGACAAAGACCCAGAAACTATGGGAAAATGTGGGGAATATCTTTATTTGTGTGTATTTCTTTGTGTGTCCTTGGGCCCCTTGACTTTGCCCCAACCCCGCCGCTGTTCCCCCCCCCCCGAGCGGTTGCCCCCCAGCGCGGGCCACGCTTCCGGATCCGAGCCCCTTCTCTCGTCGCTGTCGCACCCCCTTCCTTTCCACGCCTCCGCCTGCCCCTGCCGCCCCCGTTCCTGCCGTGGCCCTCCTCTTGGCATCGCTCGGACGTGTGCATTTTTCCTTCGGCGAGGACCATCGAGGAGCGTCCTTGCTCACTTGGCGAAAAAGCACGCACGAAACCGAAAAAAGCACGGGGAATGGACGTCCGAGCGATGGCCAGTCCTCGTCCCGTTCATCCTCGTGCTCGCCCGCCACCCCTCTTCTACTCCTGTGTCATTGCGCAGCGTCCCCGCTCCGACTGCGCATCCCACGGCGGGGACTTGTTCGGGGGCTCCGTGTCGGCTACGACGCGCGTCCGCGGACGGGGAACAAGTCAGCGCAATGGTAATGGACACGAGCGGGCGAGCGGACGTCAGATGTGGCGCTTGCGTACCTAGTTTACCTCTCTCTATTTTCTCTCTCTCTCTCTCTCTCTCCCATATCCCTACCCCCATCCCATTCCCCCCCCCCTCCTCTTGGCCGCCCATCTGCAAATTGCCTCCAGTCTTGTCAACGTGCACATCTTTCCTTTTGAGGGACTGTCGTGGAAGGGCGGTGACATCAAAGAGGAGGAGGAGGAGAAATGTGAGGGAAGAGGAGGGGATACGAGAAAAGGGACTAGGGATAACGTGGGAGTGAGGAAGGAGGAATGAGACGGAGGAGAGAAGATGAACATGAAGGAGAGAGGAGGAACGATGAGGAGCGATGAGGCGGAGGAGAAGGAAGAGCCATAATGAGCAGTAGAAGTCTGCAGGCGGCTGACTGTGGTTGAGGAGGAAGATGGGATGATGAGAAGCACATGATGATGCTGCTGATGATGATGATGATGATGATGATGATGATGATGATGATGATGATGATGATGATGATGATGATGATGATGTTGATGTTGATGCTGATGATGATGAGGAGGAGGAGGAGGAGGAAGAGGAGGAGTAGGAGGGCAGGAGCTAGAGGATAGCCAAGGAGGTGGTAGGAAATGTAAAATGAGGATGCGCAAGTGGAGGAGAAGGCGTGGGGTCTGAGCTGAGGAACCAGTCCGGGGACTCTGCCCAGCCCTTCCAGGGAACGCCGCTCTCTCGGCCAACCCGTTCCGCCTGTCTCGGAGACTGCTGCAGCCATCTGGCGATCTGCAGTTCGAGGCCTGCGACCCCTCCTCCCACCGTCGAATGGGGCTGGGACGAGGAAAAGTTCTTTCCAGAGCGTTCCAGAACGCTCCCAGAGCTCTCCGGAGCGCTCTGGGACCTCAGAGACTCTCGATTTATATTCTCACCCGGTTGCGAAGGCCTTGCGGCCGGTGCCGCCGACCCTGAAGGGGAACGACGACGGCGGCGGCGACGGCGACGACGTTGACGTGGGTCAGAGTCCTCGTGGATGCTTCTTGGGGTCTCTTCGAAGCGCTCTCGGGGGCCTCACCCGATTTCATCCTCGTCCTGGATTTCGCTTACATTCGGAGAAAAAAGAAGCGCCATAAACAAAAACTTTCTGGCGCTCTGCGCGGAGTTCTTGGATCCGCGCTGGCCCCCCCGGAGCGCCTCCGGCGCCGCCCCTGGCGCGCTCCGCGCGCCAGGGAGGGGGATCCAGCGCGGATCCAAGAAGTCCGCGCGGAGCGCCGAAAGTTTATGTCTATGGTTAGGTCGGGCGTGTTCCCCCTACAGGCGGATTTTGGACGAACAATTAAGAATACACCAAACATGCTAAAAACAAATACGCAACAATAGTCAAAACATCGTCCCCAGACAATTCTTTAGATATTTCTGAATACAGTTCCTGTAGAGGGACACGCCCGACCGAAGCCTGTGGCGCTCTCTCCTCTTCGTACACCTGGCGGCCACCTCGAGCTGCCGCGGCCGGCCCCGCTGCCGGCCCCTCGAGGCCTCGGGGAGCTGCTGCCGCCGCCGCCCGCCCGCGGCCCGAGGCATGGGGTGCAGCGGAGGCCCGTGCCAAGGAGCACCCCGCTGGCCTCCCGGGGTGCCCCTGGGCATCCTGGGTTCCGATGGCTCTGCGGTGGAGATATCGTGACTCGGGCGATCGCAAGCATGGGTGGATGGGGGCGTGGATTAGCGACGGGCCCCGCTTCCATGGGAAACCGCGGATTTCCGCCGCCGAGCGAGGCGGCACCGGCCGCATTTTGGATTTGGCGGCCGCGCGCCAAATCCATGGATCGCTAATCCATGCTTGCGCGCCCCCAACAGTAGAGACCCATGCCAAGAGACGCCCTGCTTGCCTCCAGGGTGCCCTGGGCATCTTGGGTTTCGATGGTTCTGCTGTGGAGAGCGTGACGACCCCAGGCCAAAAGTCCATGGACGTCCTGGCGTCTCAGGGTTGGGGTTCTTGTGGAAGGTTTCTTGTGGACTGGAGACTGTTTTTTAAGGGTCCGGCGATAACCCGGGCTATCGGGCTTGCCCCCCCCTCCCCCCCGCCATGATAACCTAACCTTGCCGGTTGTGCAGGTCTGGGGTGGGGGGGCGCGGGCATATGCAGGGCTGCCCACAGCGCGAAGGTTAGGTTATCGGCCGGCCCCCTCCTCCCCCCCGGATAACCCCGGTGATCGCCGATGCAAGAAAAACGGTCTCTTTGTGTCTCAGGGTTGGGTTTCTTGTGGGAGGTTTTTTGCGGATTGGCCTCCACTGCATGAGCCGGCTCGGGGCAGGCAGCGCGTCCCTCACAGGCCGCCCGTCAGCAACAGGCCGGAGCAATGGGCGGCGCGCTGAGAATGGGGGAGGAGGAGGAGGAGGAGGAGGAGGAGGAGGAGGAGGAGGAGGAGGAGGAGGAAGGAGGAGGAGGGGGGGGAGGAAGAGGATGAGAGGGGGAGGAGGAGCAGAGGAGGAGGAGGGGAGGAGGAGGAGGGGGAGGAGGAGCAGGAGGAGAGGAGGAGAGGAGGAGGAGGAGGAGGGGAGGAGGAGGAGGAGGGAGAGGAGGAGGAGGAGGAGGAGGAGGAGGAGGAGGAGGTGGAAGAAGAAGAAGAAGAAGAAGAACAGGAGGAGGAGAAGGTATGATGATGATGATGAGGAGGAGGAGGAGGAGGAGGAAGGAAAAGGGTGGGAGGATAATGACGGGGAGTGCGGGGAGAATGCGGCCTCCTCGGGCCTTCTCGGAAGGCCGCGTGTCTTCTCGGAAGCCCATTCGGCCTTCGAGGTCCTGCGCGGTGCCGGAGAAGGCTCGGGCGCAGCGTCTCAGTCGGCCGCGGCCCCCCGGAGCCCTCTAAGAAGGCTCGGCCCATCTGTCTCCGCCGCCGGGCGTGCCGACGAAGAGCAAGGCAGGCGGCCAGCGGGCGTCGAGGGGGTGAGCTTGTCTTGAGGAGCGGTCGGCGCGCGAGACTGCTCGATCCGTCGAGGCGCTGTTCGGCCTTTCCCGTCTTGCCTTAAATCTGGCCTGTCCCTCCGCAGGGGGAATCTTCAAAAATTGTAAAAAAATAGTCTTGGGACGATTTCTAAATTACGTATGCTTGCCCATTTGGCGTTTTTTTTTTCTCTGTTTTTTTCGCCATAAATCTCCTTGTATGGGGGCACGCCCGACTTAAGTTCGCTAGATCGTGCACGATGTATCACTTGCCATGATAGGGTGGGGATCGTTTCTTATTCATTGTTTTGCCGATTGGCGCGGGCCCTAGCACCCCCCCCCCCTCCCCCCTCTATGGAGCAGATCTTGGCTGTTCAGGGCGCCTGATTGAAGCAGGTGGACTTTCCCCCACAGAACGCACCGCTGCAAACATTCGCATTAAGCAGAGGTCCGGAACCAGACCCCCTCCTTCCCCCCCTATTTCCGCCCAGTGTCGAAACGCCGTACAAGGAAACGCTCACGTGGGCTGATTGCGAGCCAAGCGCCAGGTGTGGGGTTTCTGTTTGTTCTACCGCCCCATCATCTCGTCTGCGAATGCTATTCATTGGAGGAGGCGCAGATGGCCATCCTTTCGGATTACGACCCCGAGAACGTGGTGCTTCTTGATCGTACCGCCCATGTTACTTCCACATATGGTGGTCCTCAGTTTCATGCTGTTGGCACTGCCGATACCACGTGGACGCTGTTGTTAAGCGCAATTGACCAGGACATGCTGCCCACACGTGCCTGCATACCTGCGGCAGCGCAGCTTCCGACAATCCATGTTGGCTTCTGATATCCACAGTGTTATCTAGTGTCTTGTTCTCTTCTGCCTTGCTCCATGACACTATCAGCGTTGTTCCAAATAGCATTGCTCCCTCCCACCGTAATGCTCGCGTGACGGAGTGTGCGTTACCCAGGGTGGTGAGCCCAGGTCTCAAGAGCGTCTGTGTCGCCCCCGTGCCTTCGTCTCATGAAGCCGTGGCACTTTGGACAGAATCCCCGGCTCGCGCAATACGTGTTGCGGGAGATGCTCCTGGCTCAGGTCTCGAGCCACATCGAAGGCGCTTACGGCGAATCATCGTCGCCCCCTGCCTTTTAAGATACGCCTATGTGGCCACACGTTTGGGGAAAGTTTGGCCACGCTATTGGCTCCAGCCGTTGTCGAAGTCCTTCGGGGAACACGTGGGGAAGGAAGAGGAGGATGAGGAGAGGGAGGAAAAATGAGGATGATAATAATGGTAAGGAGACCGCTTGGGAGCCTCTTGGGCCATTCTTGGGGCCTCCTGGGAGCGTTCTGGAGGCCTCTTGGAGGTTTCTTGGGGGCCTCCTTGGGTCTCGAACTAGAAAATGCGGACCGAAGAGGCCGCGCAAGGTGACACCATGAACCCGTTAGGCCCTGCTGCCCCGGTACAATGTTGCAGAGACTTGCCCAGGGGTTCTCCGGTCGCTCAGGAAGGCGACCGGAGAGTGTTTTTGAAGGAAATACTGGGCGGGATCGCGACTCTCCGGTTCTTCCATCTTCGCCTTTCATATTGTGATCGCCAAATTGGACCGGAGAATCGCGATGCCGCGCCGGACCTCCGCGTTCAGTTGCGCGTGCACCAGCGCGCCGACAACGCGTCCATCAGTTTGCGAGCGAGCAAGCGCGGATAAGAGTGAGTCTGACCATGCCGCTTGATGATCCGTGGATCTGCGCGTGCGAGGTCTGGGTGCGTCGAAGCCCTTTAGCGGGGTCCGCACTTGCTAATCCAGCAGGTGGTAGGGGCTTTCGTGGGGGCCTCCTGGGTGTCTTACGGCGTTTCTGGCCCGTCGGACGCCGTCGGATGCCGTCTTGGGAGCCTCCCTGGGCCCTCTTGGGGCCCTCTTGGGGCGCCTCAGGGCCATCTTGACGGCCATCTTGGGCCTCTTGGGGGCCTCTTTGGCCGTCTTGGGGCATTCGGGGGGCCGTTTCGGGAGCATCTTGGGCCGTCTTGGGGCCATCTTGGAGGCCTCTCGGGTGATCTTGGGCAAATATTTGGCGCCTCTTGGCCCATCTGGGGCCGTCGGGGAGCCGTTTTGACCCCTAGCATCAAAACCACCAAAATATTGGTGGGCAGTAGAATCTTAGAGGGCCCCTCTAAAATTTTAGAGGGGAGCTCATTTTTAGTAGACACTAAATAAAAACCAATCATCGCCATACCATCAAAACTCCTGACCAATGAGCCCAAACTGCCATACTGGTCAGGCATACACCACCGCAATCACCATCATTGCTGCGTTTGGTGTGCCCTGGGATACGTTGTGCTTGTCTCTAGCGCGGGGCGCACCCCCATCATCTTGGAAGCCCTTCTGTCTTTTAATAATCGTCTTATGAAGCCTCCAGAAGGACGCGTCCCCCCTGAATTCAGCCTTCCTTACGTTCTCAGGAGGCCCTTCGGATCTTTCCCACATGCTTAGGAGGCGTTTCGGGTTTCTCCCACGTTCGTAGGAGGCCTTTCCGAAACCCTCGAGAAAAAGGAAGTGGCCGCTCTGAGAATATCACATGCTGTAGTTTGTGGTTCCGTCGCCTGTTTTTGTTCAAACCAGGCTTTCTTTTCTAACCGGCCACACTGGGGCTGCCTTGGGGCGGTCCTGGGAGCCTTTTGGGACGTCCGGGAGCGTCGGAAGCTCGAAAAATGGAAAACCCCCCAAACATTGCAAAACCAAATGGCAATCAATGTTTTTGTCCTCTCGGGATCTCTGGGGGCCCTCTTGGGACGGCTCTTGGAGCTATCTTGGGGCGTCTCGAATGCTTCTTGGGCAATTTTGGAGCCACCTTGAGCGTCCTGGACCGATCGTGTGGCGATTCGGGACACGCTTGGACCGTCTGGGCGGGCTCTTGGAGGCCTCGTGGCCCTTCTTTGTCCCCTCGTGGCCCCGAAAAACATGCACCACCACTCGGGGGAGCAGGGGAACCGCGTCAAACTCCTCAGCAGGAGTGAGGACTGAGGCTCAGGGGATCGAGCAAGGGACATGAGGACACTCCAGCTCGTGCCCGAGGGCGTTATCCCAGAGGCTTACGCCATTCCGCCGACCCCCAGAAGAGGGACGACGTCCACGGTGAGGGTTTGGGAGGCCTTTTGGGGGCTCTTTGGGACTTTTCGGGGCCTCTTTGGAGGTTCTTGGGCGACTGCTGGCGGTCTCAGGGGCCCTGTTGGGGCGGAGGTTTCGACATCTCAGTTTCAGTTGCCCCTCTTGAGCCCTGTTGGGGCCCCCGTGGGCCGTCTTGGGCGCCTCTTAGGCTGTTTTGCGGCAATATTTGGCCGTCTTCGGGCCCGCTCGGGGGCTGCTTGGGTTGTCTTGGAGCCATATCTGGGGCGTCTTGAGCCGTCTTGGATGCTGTTTAGACATAAAAATCAGCGAATATGCTGAACATGCACGTTTGCCGATTGGAATTTGACGATTTTGGCTTCTTGGGGTCATTTTGGGGGTCCTCTTGGAGCAATCTCGGGCCGTCTTAGAGGCTTCTTGGGCCGTCTTGAGGCCCTATTGGATGTTTTTGAGGCCTCCTCGGCGTGTTCGATCCCAGCTTGAGCCAGCTTAGATGGCCTCTGGAGCATCTTGGAGGCCACCGAGTGTAGATTTCGAGGCGGTCGCCGGAGGCCCCCAGGGTGCGTTGACGAGCTCCCCCCTCCCCCCCCACCACCCTCCCCCGCCTCCTGAAACAGCAGTTTGGACCCCAGGGGAGGGGGCAAGGGGGAGGGGGACAGCCGACAGCCGATTATCTCGCACGCCTTCTCACCACAGGCAAGCGAGGGTTGGCGGGTTCACAAGTGATGTCCGGGTGTAACTTCAGCTCCGCCTCCCGCGTGTAGTTGCATCCTGGGTTCTCCTTGGGGACTCACCCGGGACCCCCTTTCGATTTCCGGGGGCCTGCCCGAAAGTCCAGATGCTCGCTGAGTCCCTCATCGCGCAGCATGCCCTATAGGAGGGGGTTGAGAGGACTACATTTCACGTCGCAGCGCGGCAGAGGCAATCCGCTCGCGCGTCTGGGCGAGACGGGGGCACGGAACCGCTCATCCACCCGCGTGCAGGAGGATGGGGTGAGGCGAGGGAGGCGCCCGCGGGGAGGGGGAGCCGGGTGCGAGTGCACTCTCGCGCCGCGAGGCTGCGGCGAGCGCGTGGAGGCGGCCGCGCTGAAGGCCAGCCCCTGGCAGTTGTCGCGGGGCGGCATCGCGATGCACCCAGGGGCGGGGCCAGCAGCCGCAGTGTGGGCGAAGCCCGGCAGGTGAGGAGGGGAGGGGGAGCAGCGGGCGGCGGGAGAACCGAGGCGCCAAGCGGGGGGAGGGCAGCGGCGTGGGGGGTCGGCGGCGGACCAAGGGCGCGGGGCGACCAGCGCTGCAGCAGCTGCGAACGTTGCCCCAAGGCGGAGGGCGGCGGGCGGGCCAGCAGCGAAGCGCAACTGTGCGGCGGGGCTGCAAGCCGCGGGGGCGCACTTAGAGGAACGCAGCAAGCGCGCTGAAATAAGGAGCGGCTTGGGTTTGAAAGGGGCCTCGATGTTCTTCAGGTCCTTCCGTGGCTGTTTTTTTAGCCCTCCTCGTTCACCTAGGCGCGTCTGGGGCCAACAACGGGGTTTCGTTCCTTATCGAGGGTTCCTTCTGATAGCACCTCGACTGTATGAGGGATGAGAAAGGAGATGGTGACGTGCGTGGGACGGGGAACCGAGCTCGAAGAGGGAGGACAGGGACTCTTGTTTCGGTGCGGCCACTATCTAGACAAGCGGCTTCGAAATCCCCAATCCCGAAAAACTGCTTGCCGGTCGGAAGGAGTGGGTAGAAAATGAAGAAGGAAGGCGATGTACGTGGATTGGACTTCCGCCCGCCCCCTGAAGAGGGGGGAAGAACGGAAGCCATTCGATCGTCGAAGCAGGACGGCGCCTAAACTTGATTGGGACTTGGGAATCCCAGAATTTTTATGTTCAACGACCGACGGGTAAACGAAGAACGACCGGAGACCCGGGAGGCGAACCAGTGCTGGGCGGCCAGGGCAGGGAAGGAACGAAGAGGAGCATTGAACGGGCCTGGGGATGATATCGAACCCTTCCAGAGCTTTCTGGAGCGCTCCAAGATTAAGTCGGGCACGTCCCTCTACAGGAGGAATGTTCAAACATCGTCCACAAATCGTCAGGGGACGATTTTTCTATTAGTGTTTGGTAATTGTTGCACATGGCGTAACTTGAAAATCCACCTGTAGAGGACATACCCGACCTAAACCTAGAATCGAGACAAATCCGTTCCAGCGTGTTCCGGAACGTTTTGCGATCGATCGGGAACGCTCTGAGAGACGTCCGCGGCGCCCGCGACGTCCTCCACAAACCCGCCGATTCGCATTGATTTCCTATGTGCATCGGTCCGATGTTGTGTCGATGCTGCGTTCGGCTTGAGGAAGGAGAAAAGGAGGAACAAGGCGTGCCCCTCGGATGCCGTGCTCGGCCCGCGCGCGGATGGCTGCGCAGGGGCAGGAGCAGGAAACGGAGCAGAATAGGCAGCGAGGACGGAAACAGAAGGAGGGATGGAGAAAAATGCCCAGACCCCCTCGAGATATGACAAACATTAAGACGGACCGTTTTTTTGTATTGTTTCTGGCCCTTGGGATCCTCACTGGGCTTAACGACCCAGGATGACAAGCAGGGTCCCGGGGAATAGGACGTTTTGGGAGATTTTTATGGAGGGGGTCTGCTTTGAATTGTCTCGGAAGGTCGGGGGGGGGTTCTGACATTGGCCGTCTGGAAGGGTTAGGACCCCCTCCTTTTTCAAATGAAATCTGGAATGCCCAGACCTCCCACGTTTTGATTTTCCATACGGGCCCCAAAGTCGGGGGCGGCAGAGAGGGGGGTGATGACTAGGGGGGGTGGACATCATGGCGGGGGCCATGATATTTTTCCAGGTCTCATGGCGCCTCTTATTGTTACATTCCGTTCCTGGCCCCGCCCCTGGGCCGCGCACGGGCCGCCGGCCATGATTTGCGCCCCCGCCGTCTTCGACGCCCCCCTCTTGGCCACCCCCGACCAAAATCTGTGCCCATCGCAAGGGGAGGAGGAGGGGGGGGAGGAGGAGGAGGAGGAGGAGGAGGAGGAGGAGGAGGAGGAGGAGGAGGAGGAGGAGGAGGAGGAGGAGGGGACAGGAGGAGAGGAGGACGAGGAGGAGGAGGAGGAGAAGGGAGGAGGAGTCTGCGCTCTTGTTGGCGGGCCCGACGGGAGCCCCTCAAGAGGCCGAGAGTCGTGACGAAGCGGTGCGTCGTGATTTTGCCGTGCCACCGCGCGGGGGGGGGGGGCCTGGACGCTGGGCGGGAGAGAGGAGGAGGCGTGGATCTCAGACCCCCTCGAAGAATGAAATCGTCCCGACGGGAGGTCTTTCGCTATTTTCGCCCCCTCGGGGCCCTCTCCGGGCCTCGGGACCGTCAAAAAACGACTCGGGATGAAAAGCTGGTCCCGGGGAGTAGGTTTTTAGACCTCGGGGGTCGACGTAGCGAAAGAATCACGACGTCGGGGATCAGGGCTCGAAGGGGCACGGTCCGTCGTGCGTTGTGTCACGACGCGGAGTGGCCTTGTGTGTTGGGCGGGAGGGAGGTGGAAGCGCGGATGAAGGGGCGGCTTTTCGAAGAAGAAGAAGAAACGACTTTTGGCGCTCCGCGCGGATTTCTTGGGTCTGCGCTGGACCCCCTCCCTGGCGCGCGCAGCGCGCCGGGGGCGGCGCCGGAGGCCGCCAGGAGGGGGGGGCCCACCGCGGATCCAAGAAATCCGCGCGGAGCGCCAACAGTACATGTTTGTGGCGTTTTTTTCTCCTAGCCTCAAGTCGGGCACGTCCTTCTACAGGACGAACATTCAAAAATTGTCTAAGAATAGTCCAGGGACGACTTTCTACCAATTCTAATCATTTTGAAATATTGTTCGACTACTTTTTTTTCCGTCCAGACTCCGCCTGTCGAGGGACGTGTCCGACCCAATTCTGGCCCTGGCTGCCGCCGCTCTTCGGTGCCCGGCTGCAGCGTGCTCGACGCCTTCCAGTGCATCGCCGAGGCAGCATTGGACGCCGCCGGCGGCGCCTCCCGGCTGGCGGTGGCACCTGCTGCGGAGGCCGCTGTCTGGGACAATGTGTTGCAGAGCTCACAGGAGCCATGAGTGATGGCAGTGATTCAGGAGGGAAAGAAACACACGCACACACAATTAATCGTCAATTTCTCAGAAAATATGGGAAAATATGGGAAGTGGGGGGGAAGACAGAAACCCAGAAAATATTGGAAAATTTGGGGAATTATTTTATTTGTGTGTATTCATTTGTTTGTCCTGGGGGCCCCTTCAGTGATGCGCTCCAGGGTGTCCCAGCTTTCCCAGAAATGCGTTCCGCACGCGCCGCAGAGGCGAGGGCCGCCAGATAATTACCACTCTGGAGCCCCTGGGGCCCCTGGAGCTCCGCCTGGAGCGCATGACGAGCCATGTTGCATCACGACATGACTTTCGTCCCGCGGCTCGGCTGGCGCCCGAGCCGCAATTGCCCAGGGCGCTCCCAGGTCGCCCTCGGCTTGGAGGAGCCGAAAGCCCAGGCCTGAGACGAAGTTCTGCTCGTCGTTTTCGGCCTCCGGCGGCCCTCGCCGGGCCCCTGGGCCTGTCGAAAGACGGCTCGGGATGGTCAGTCAGCCCTGGGGAAGGGGGGGGGTCCAGACTTCCAGGGACGCCGTCTTCGAGCAATCAAGGCACCAGGTCTATGGTGATTGTTTTCGTACGCGTTGTTTTGCCGATCGGCGCGGGCCTCGCACCCCCCCCAGGAGTAGATCTTTCCTGTGTATGGCGCCCGTTTCCAGCAGGTGGAGTCTCCCCCGCAGGACGCACTGTTGCAAACAGCTGCTCCAAGCAGAGGTCCGCAGCCAGAACCCTCCCCCCCCCCCTTCCGCCCAACGTCGAAACGCCGAGTAAGAAAACGCTGACGTGAGCAAGTCACATCACATCCTCCGCGGGAACCGGTGG